AGGCCCCGCCCCCACACACTTTTTGTTGGTTGGTTTGTTAATCCTCACCCGAGGATATTTTTTCCATTGATTTTTTTGAGAGAGTAGAAGCGGGGAGGAGGATGAGGAGGAGAGAGAGAAACATTGATGTGAGACAGACACATCCATTGGTTGCCTCCCACATGTGCCCCAGCTGGGGCAGGGGATGGAATCGTAGGCCCTTCAGTGCGCAGGCTGACACTCTAACCACTGAGCACACGAGCACGCCAGCCAGGGCCATCACAGGCACTTTTTTTAAAAATATATTTTATTGATTTTTTACAGAGGGGAAGGGAGAGGGATAGAGAGTTAGAAACATCCATGAGAGAGAAACATCGATCAGCTGCCTCCTGCACCCCCCCCACACACACACTGGGGATATGCCCGCAACCAAGGTACATGCCCCTGACCGGAATCGAACCTGGGACTCCTCAGTCCACAGGCCGACGCTCTAGCCACTGAGCCAAACTGGTCAGGGCCATCACAGGCACTTTTGCCACAGCTCCGTATACATGGCACAACAGCTGTGTGTCTTTTCCTTCGTACCTTCTTGTCTTTCCCTTTTCTCCTCTCTAGCCTGAGAGACTAGAAGTGGTACAAAGCGTCCTAAAGGAAGTGGGAAGGCAGGAGGACTGTGTGCGGACTGTGCCTTCCCAGCCCTCACCCCGCGCCTTCCCTGGGCTGGGTACTAGTGTGGCTCACAGCCCCGGGACTCGGGGGGCGGGGGGGGCGGGGCAGTGCTCACACACCACATGTTGTCCTTTGCCTCCCTGGTCCATTTCCTGAATGTTTTGGGGAAAGGGGGGGACTTGGGGGCTTCCTTCCCCGCAGGACAACACGCACCTTCTACTACCACAGAAACTAAAGAATCTCACTTCTTGTCTCCTGGCTTCTGCAAAGGATGAAACCAGGCATTCCTTGGCCTAAAGAGAAGAGGGAGAGGGATGTGAGAGTAGGAAGCTACAGCAGGACTCGGGTGGGGCAGGGTGGGGAAGGCTGAGGTTTGGGAAATAAGTACATGGGAGAGATCTGGAGGTTCCTGAGGCCAGCTGTGTGAGCAGGGTGCCCACAGCCCCTCTCACGCCCCCAGGCCCAGCGAGGAGATGGTAAAGATGGTGCTGAGCCGGCCCTGCCACCCCGATGACCAGTTCACCACCAGCATCCTGCGACACTGGTGCATGAAGCACGATGAACTGCTGGCTGAGCACATCAAGTCCCTGCTCATCAAGAACAACAGCCTCCCACGCAAGAGGCAGAGGTGGGAGTGGGCCCTTCAGGACACACCAGGCCGAGCTGCTGCTGCCCACCCTCTATCCCAGGGCAGCCCCCTGCTGTCCCTGCCTGGCTTGTGGGTGACACCTAGTGGTCCGAAGCTACAGGGCACACAGGACCATGGTGGCCCCTTCCCCTCTTTCCCAGTGCCCTGTGGCTGGTCCCTGTTCCAGCTCACCTCCCTGGTCCCAGCCCAGCCCTCTGTCCCCTCCCTGTATGGGCTGTGTCTGTCTGCAGGGGGGACCCTGGTGGGGAGAGGGCCTTGCACTCCTGGAGCCCTCACTGGGAGCTCAGGTCTGGTTCCCGTGACTTCCTTGCAGCCTGAGGAGCTCCAGCAGCAAGCTGGCCCAGCTGACTCTGGAGCAGATCCTGGAGCACTTGGACAACCTGCGCCTCAACCTGACCAACACCAAGCAGAACTGTATGCGCCAGCCCTCCCGAGTCCAGCCTGCCCGCTGCTACCCTGGCTCAGACCGCCCTGGGCCGGGTGGGAGCAGGGCAGGAGGAAATCACCCTGGGCACCGCTGGTTAAGCTCCCAGGCCTCTGACTGTTCTTCCTCCCTGCTGTCCCTTCCCTCTCCCTCTAGTTTTTAGCCAGACTCCCATTCTCCAGGCGCTGCAGCATGTCCAGGCGAGCTGTGACGAGGCCCACAAGATGAAGTGAGGCTCCTGGGGAAGTAGTGGGGAAGGCCAAGGGGAGGGGGCCTGCTGGGGACACAGACTTAATGACCAGTAAGACCAGGGGCTTGAAGAGAAATCGAACCCGGGCCGGGGGCAGAGAGATGGGAAGGAGGCCCGAGGGCCAGAGGCCCCGCTCTGAGAGCTCGTTCTCCTGTCCCTCAGGTTCAGCGACCTCTTCTCCCTGGCAGAGGAATACGAGGACTCTTCCACCAAACCCCCCAAGAGCCGGCGGAAAGCAGCTCTCTCCAGCCCCCGGAGTCGAAAGAATGCCACTCAGCCCCCCAATGCTGAGGAGGAGTCTGGCTCTAGCAGTGCCTCGGTGAGAGCCCTCGCCGGCCGGCGCAGGAAGGGAGCGTGGGGGCAGGTGGAGCTGGGCAGCAGCTGTCGGGCTGATGATCCCCTTCACTCTCCTCCAGGAGGAAGAAGACACAAAACCGAAGCCCACCAAGCGGAAGCGGAAGGGGTCCTCTGCCGTGGGGTCTGACAGTGACTGAGTCCCTGCTGCCAGCCCACCCCTAGTTGGACGACCCTCTCCTCCTCCGTGAATCAAAGGTTTAACGGGCGGGAGACGGAAGGGGAAGCACCCTCTCTCCCCATCCCAAGACTGGCCGGTGGGAAGTCTGATCGCTGCCATGCAGCCTCAGCCCCTCCCCCTCCCTGGGGCCTCCAGCCCGTCACTGCTGCTCCACCAGCGCTGGGTTCCCCCTGAAGCCGGAGGCTTCAGAACCTGGACTGCAGGGAGGTCCTCAGGCCCCTGCCCCTCCCCCAGCCCAAAGAGCTGTTTAAATCAAGAGGAGAAATGGCAGGGGGGCAGCTGGCCAGACGAGGATGAGAGGAAAGACTCAAGGGTGCGCGTGTCCTTTCTGATGATCCCCTTTAGGTCTTAATTTGCCCTGAACAGGCAGCTTCTAGTCGCTCTCCATACACTGGTATGAAACGGGCATTTAACCTGTGACCATGTCGGGCTGCCTGCTTGTTTCCATGGGGCAAATGCCACAAGTGCTCAGGAAGGAACCTGAGAGGGGGGCACAGCCCCCCCTGGTGTGCCCTGGAGGCACCTCACGCTGGGCCAGAGCCCGAAGGAGTCTCGGAGACGTGCTCCCAGAACTGTCAAAGGTCCCATTTCCTTGGTTGTCTTCTTTGGGTTTTTTTGTGGGGTTTTCTTTGGCAGAGATAATCGTGTTTTAAAAGCTGTTTTTAAATGACAATAAAACAAGCCAGAACCTCTTTTGTGCTGGAGTTGCTGCCCCCGTTTACCCTGTGCATGTACAGGTGATCTGTTTAATTGGCACCCCTCCTGTGACTTCATAATTTCCCCCTGTTCCCTTCCTTTCCCCCCCGCTTTTTTAAAATATTTTTTAAAATATATTTTATTGATTTTTTACAGAGAGGAAGGGAGAGCAATAGAGAGTTAGAAACATCAATGAGCGAGAAACAAACATCTATTAGCCGCCTCCTGCACAACCCCCACTGGGGATGTGCCCACAGCCAAGGTACATGCCCTTGACCAGAATCGAACTTGGGACCTTTCAGTCCGCAGGCCGACGCTCTATCCACTGAGCCAAACCGGTCAGGGCTTAAAAATATTTTTAAAATTGATTTCAGAGAGGAAGGGAGAGGGAGATAGAAACATCAATGATGAGAGAGAATCATTGATTGGCTGCCTCCTGCATGCCCCCTCCTGGGGATTGAGCCGGAAACCAGGCATGTGCCCTGACCAGGAATTGAACCGTGACCTCCTGGATCATATACATAGGCAGATGCTCAACCACTGAGCCACACTGGTCAGGCTATCCTCCCCTCTTCTTGTCTGAAGCAGAGAGGACTTGGCTTTGTCCCCCATCATTCTGGCTGCCACTGGCAGTGAAGGCCAGGCAGTAAGCCGAGGTCTGTCCTTAACCATCTCAAGTAGAGACTTCCAGAAGCTGGTATTTGTCATATTCCATTTAGTAAGGCCGAATGCCAACTACGGCACGCTCCCAACTCAGATCCTGGGCACATGGAGAGTTCGGTTACTAGGGAGGGGGCTCCCTTTCCTCCGCACTGTGTACCAGCAGGAAGAGCTCCCTGGCTGTGCTGGTCCCCTCCTGTCAGGGAGGTTGGTGGCGAGCTAGAGAGGAGCGAAGTTCAGGCTGACTGCACAGTTGCTAAGCCCGCAAGCTTGTCTCAGGATCTCCCCTCCCTCAGAGCTGCTACTCCTTCCTTTGCAAGTCTGAACCGCCAGAGGCCTCTTTTCCTTCCTCTCTCCTTCCCCAGTTTTCTCTGCCCCAATTAAAACCAGGATGGAGAGCATTCACTGGCTGGCCCCAATTATTGTACCCTTGCCCAAAGGGAGGGGCCTCCGCCACGGCCCCTCCGGAAATCTGGCGGGCTGGGCCTCCACCTTTCCCCTACTTAACTTCCAGCTCCCACCCATCCCCTGGGGTTGCTGCTGCTGCTGGCAGCTGGAGGGAGGGCATGGGTCTGGCTACCTTGCCGGGACTTGCAGCACCGAACAGGCAAGGGGCCGAGTCCTTCAGTCTTTTGGGAGAGAACAGAGGCACCCTTCCATCACGGGTGCAAATGAGATAGAAGAGGGAGCGGTGGACTTTGATCCAAACGTCCTGGTGCTCAGACCTGGACGCCAAAGTCCGGCCAGATGCCTAAATCGCCCTTGACAAGGGACCTAAAATGAGACGACCCTGGGATTGAGGGAAGGCGTGAGCACCGCCCAGGACCTGGTGAGGTGCAGGCGAGTCGCCTGGAAGGAGCGAGTCCAGGGCGGAGCGTAGGGGTGGGGAGGCCGGGAGTGCGGGGGCCGGCCCCCACCTCCGCCCCTGCTCGCCTCCTGGGGGAAGGGGCGTGTGCCGGCGCACGCGCGCTCCGGGGAAGGAGCGGTCTCAGAGCCAGAAAGTGAGGCCCCAGTTTCTCGGAAGCAAGTACCAGGCAGCAGCAGCCAGAAGCGAGCGGCTGGTGCCAGCCGGCGCCGAGTCGAGGAAGAGGGCGCGATGGCTGCTCTCCTGCTGCTGCCCCTGCTGCTGCTGCTGCCGCTGCTGCTGCACTTCTGGCCACAGTGGCGCTGCCG